TAGGGAAAGTTACAGTGCTTTGTCCATGGTCACAACATACATTTATACGTATGTTTGTTTTGAATACAACACTGCACTACATTCTACAGTGTAGTTAAGTTCCTAGGCCTGTGTTATCTGCTCGCTTATTACAATCAATCTCTCCTGGACAGTCTGTTTCTACCCGGAATTCACCATATTCCAAACTTCCACTGCATGAAATCCCATTTAAAATGCCTTAAAATATGCGTAAATGCACACACTAGAGAAAGAAACGGACTCTTTACGCATCTTTCAAGGTGTGCGCCAGTAAAAATGGAATTTTGAGCAGTTTTCTTTTTTTTTGTCTCACATAAGATGCATTAAAGCTGCATTAGGTAACATTAGGACGATACAAAAAGTCAATTTTTGGGTCTTTTTTTTTTGCAAAGTGAGTTGAATCAAAGTAAGGATTTTTTGTCAATTGAATGCTATGAATTTGTTTCTAACCTTACTCCGTTATGTTTCACTCCAGATGAAGTGCACGAAGGTTCTCCGTCTGGTCCTGACCACGCTGTTCGCCGTGGCGCTGTTCGCCGGCATGGTGGCCGTGTACGCCTGGGGGTTCCAGTTCCTCCACAACAACGACCGGTACATCAGCTTCGGCCTGTACGGCGCCATCGTGGCTCTACACCTGGTCATCCAGAGCATCTTCGCCTACTTAGAACACAGGAAGATGAAGAGAGCAGGCGACTTCCCTCCCTGTCAGAACAAATCGGTTGCCCTCATGATAGCCGCGTATCAGGAAGACCCGATCCTTCTGCAAAAGTGTCTGGAGTCCATCAGAGACATTCAGTACGAGAATCTCAAGGTTGTGCTTGTCATAGACGGGAACTCTGACGACGACATGTACATGCGCGATCAGTTTGTGGAAGTGTTTGGTACGGAAAATTCGGACACGTTCGTTTGGAGAAACAACTTCCACTCCAAGGAAAAACTCCCCGAACACGTCCCGAAACTGTTACAGAACGGCGCCAAGCATCTACAGAAGGTCGTGGTGTCTTCTCCACAAAAAGACGCAGGCGAGCAAACCGTTCAGGACGTCATCAGGAACAACAAGTACTCGTGCATCATGCAGAAGTGGGGAGGGAAGCGGGAGGTCATGTATACGGCGTTTAAAGCTTTAGGAAACACCGTGGACTATATACAGGTTTGCGACTCGGACACCATCTTGGATCCGAAGTGCACGACGGAAATGGCGCAGGTGTTGGACAACGACCGTTCCATTGGAGCTGTAGGGGGTGACGTCCGTATCTGGAACCACTCCGACTCTGTCATCTCTTTCATGAGCAGCCTGCGCTACTGGATGGCCTTCAACATCGAGCGCGCCTGTCAGTCCTACTTCAACGTGGTGAGCTGCATCAGCGGGCCGCTCGGCTTCTACCGAAACGACCTCCTCCAGAGCATCCTGGAGAAGTGGTACAACCAGAAGTTCCTGGGAAAACACTGCACCTTCGGCGACGACCGCCATCTTACTAACCGAATCCTCAGCCTCGGCTACGGCACCAAGTACACGGCCCGCTCCTTCTGCTACACCGAGACGCCCGCCCAGTACCTCCGCTGGCTGAACCAGCAGACCCGCTGGACCAAGTCCTACTTCAGGGAGTGGCTCTACAACGCCAAATGGTTCCACAAGCATCATCTGTGGATGACCTACGAGTCTATCATCACAGGACTCTTCCCTTTCTTCGTGACCATCACAGTCATCCGTCTGTTCTACGTAGGCGTCTGGAACATTGTTCTCATTCTAGTTACCATCCAGTTGGTAGGACTTGTTAAGTCTATCTACGCCTGTATCCTCCGTAGAAACCCCATCATGATCTTTATGTCCGTGTACTCCATGCTCTACATGACTAGCCTCCTGCCGACAAAATACTGGGCCATTCTCACTATCAACAAGAGCGGGTGGGGCACGAGCGGTAGGAAGAAGATCGTGACAAATTTCATCCCCCTGGTCCCTCTCATTGCATGGTTTCTCATTCTAAGCGGCGGCCTTGCTTATTGTATCTACCGAGAAGTTTTGATACACGTTCCACAGATAAACAAGTTGAGGCTAACATACATAGCGGTAGGGTTAGGCGTTTATGTGTTATATTGGCTTTTTATTGCGCTCCTGTTTATGATTAGGAAATGCAGGGCTAAGACATTTAAAGACGGGTACGATCTCGAAGCTCAGGGTTACGATAACCAGACGTTTAAGACGGACGAAGACACTAGTGGTAAGAAGATCCCACCTGCCCTGGACCTTAGAGGTCTGTCTACGCGTCGCCCTACTCTGATCGAGGCTTCCCCAGACTACGAGAGCGGTGTTCTAACCGGCGTTCCGCAATTCGTCTACCCCGATCGTCGTAAGTCTAGCCTGACCAGGCGTACTTCCATTGAAAGATGGGGGACTAAACTAGAGGACATTACAGGGCCAAAATCCCCGAAATCTCCCAAAGCTAGCTCGCCCACCAAGCTCCCGACGTTAGCCGAGGGAGGCGGTGACAACAACCGTCGCCCGTCGTTGATTCCCGTGTCTCCGAGTTACGAGAAGGGAATGTTGTCAGGGGTGAATCAGTTCGTCTACCCCGGCGGCCGGAAAGCTAGTCTGAAGAGAAAAGACTCTCAAGAGCAAAGGTGGCACCTCTCCCCACCTGCCAAGCCTCTCTCTACCGTAGACGAAGCCAGCCATGCTAGCGGGCGGTCTAGCCCCGTGTCCACCGCACCGGCGGCTTCGGAGGCGAACGTTCCCTCGACCCTACCTCAGATCCCTGCGGCCACACAGGCCAGTTCCCCCGTCAAGCTCAGCACCATCCCCGTTACAAAAATCCCTGGGAGGCCGAGACTTGCCCACCCCACCATTAAACATGGGGATGACTATGTAGAGCATGGATACAACTTTAGTAAAGTGGCAAGTACAGGAATATAAGAGTTGAACATTTTGTACATTTTGTAATTTTTCAAGATGAGATGTCAACAATCTGAGCTGCCATATAATATAATATGTTACTTACGTTACATTCCAGAGAATCTCTGAAAGATCAGAAGACACTCATTGTTTTGTCACTTGCAATCGTACAGCATTTTTATTTTCATATTTCCTTATGATATAGTTGTGGATTTCAAGAAGATGTTGTCATAATTTATTGATTAGGCTGGATCCTAGAGAAAGACACACTTTTGTTGTTACACACGATTGTACAGTATTTATTCAAACTATCATATCACAGTGTACATAATGTTCTTATGAATAAGACTGTTATGAGCTGAATAAAGCAATAATTATTAACTTTTAATACACCTGTCTGTTTAATTCTGTTACTAGATATTCTTCCATGGTCTTATATATTTTAAGAGGATTCGAACTTTCTGAACGGCTACCATACCCACCCAGGTTTCAATCACGCTTCGTGCAGCAAGAAGATTTTGAAGACGCCCAATAGTTTTTTTGTTTGATTGCCTATTGATAGATGCAATTTCCCTTTGAAAATGCTGTAAGGTGTATATATCCCTTAACAGTACAATATAACCTTGGGCGCTTGGGGGAGCCATTTCATGGCTGCATCATACCACTTATAACGACCAAGAATAGACAAAGAATTTTTTCAAGGTCATCCAAGTGACATACTAGTAACTAGCGCATGTACGCCGACTAGCGGGTGACTTTTGAAGTGCTGTAAGCGGTCAGAAAGTTGCAAGAGACATTCAAGGGATACATAATGCTACGTAAAAGGTAACTTTATATCTAGCATATCTAAAAAAACAACGGTAAATCAGTTTGTCAAATATAATTATAAAGGAAGTCCTATTCACATTTCGTTTTTTTTAGAATTGCAGTATATATAATACAGTATTCAATCAGACAGACAAAATTCACATGAATACTCAGATGTCTTTATTTGCAAGGCACACATATTGTCAGTGTTGTATCAATAGCACATTATCGGAAACAAGAGTTACACAAACCTTTCATAAAAAATCACATCCTTTCAGTAGTAACCAGCTCTTTTCATGACCTCATGATTATTCATTACTGTACGTTAAGACTTTGTTGACGGGTGTATTCCAATTCATCGTTCACTGTGTTGTACAGTAACACTAACATCAAAGTTCTGTAATTCACCGACAAAAAAATAGTGCAGTTTTAGGGCTTGAAACCTGATTAAAGTCAATGTTCTAGTCACTTATCTACATACTGAGTTACACCCACACTATTCCAATGTATATTGACCCTCAAGAAGCTAAAATTCGAAAATTGTGAAGGTAAATGGTTACTGGAAGGACCCAGGGCTGATTTTTAGGGTACCACCCAGAAAATAAATGACTAATCTTGGGACTTTCTGCAGTTTTAAATGCCCAAAGTATGAAATGTTGACTCAAATGTGCTAATGTGAAGCAGTATGTGTAAATATGAGAAAGATTGCATTATTAAGAATATTTCCAGTTTTGCTGTCCTGAAATCGCATTGGATGCCTTTAAATCTTACATTATGATTCATCATTACACAAAGTATAGCGTGCTCTTCCGACCAAAATAAGCTATGGACTTGTTTCCTGTATAATCTCATAGAAGGATTCACATGGGAATCTTCACTTTACCTTAACGTCGTATGCTATTGTAACATGATATGTTTGTATGTGTCTGTCTCCATGTACATGTATAATGAGGTGCTTCCGTTGCCCTGAGACAACTATACACTCAATTCTTGCTCTTCTATAGCCTCCTTCGCAGAGTTGTTGGGCTGCGGCGTTATTTTTTCTGTGAGCGACGCGAGTAATATGCCGCTTAGGGACGATTTTGCTGCCGAGGGAGTTTTTGCCGTGGAGAGAAGGTTTCGCGCTCTAACAAAATCTTCTCTCCACGGCAAAAACTCCCTCGGCAGCAAAATCGTCCCTCCGCGGCATATTACTCGCGTCGCTCACAGAAAAAAATAACGCCGACGCCCAACAAGTCTGCGAAGGAGGCTAGTTCTACTACATGTACATATAACGCTGGCGACATCATTACATTTCTTTTCATTAAAACTATTGACAGACATTATGGCAAATTGGACAACATTAAAACATCGGTGGTCCCTGATTGTTCTTTATATAAAAATATATAAATATATGATATTGCGGACAAGAATAAATAGTCAACATCTTTCGTCACCAAAAACATGTATGGCGTTCGTCAACTGCCGTATACATATATTCTGTACGTAGGATGACTTTGTTATATCTTTAGTTGTATAGAAGACAATACAATAGTCCCTGTACGTATTGTTGTGTCAATACAGAATCTATATATTCTTACGTGTACATCACGCGGTTTCTTCGACACTGTAGGAGTCCCGGCAGCAGCCACACTTACAAGTTCTCCACGAGTACAGAGCGATCATGACGAACCAGTACAACATGTACAGCGCGAACCCGACGCTGAGGTACATCTGCTTGGTGTAGTCGAAGTAGTCCAGCGTGTCGAAGTAGATCGTGTACGCGAGGCCTCCGCCTAGAATCAGCGCCCAGGCGATCAGAGGCACAAGCGGGATAAAGTTTGTCACGATCTTCTTTCTCCCGCTCGTCCCCCACCCGCTTTTGTTGATAGTCAGCATGGCCCAGTACTTGGCCGGTAAGAGGCTTGTCATGTAGAGTATGGAGTAGATGGACATGAACACCATGAGGGGAGATCTCCGTAGGAAACAGGCGTAGAAGGATTTGATTAGTCCTATAGCCTGTATGGTGATGAGAATGAGTAGAATGTCCCAGAGCCGTCCCCGGTAGAAAAGGCGGATGACTGTCACGGTTACAAAGAAAGGAAAAAGTCCGGCGATGATGGACTCATACGTCATCCAGATGTGGTGCTTGTGGAACCACATGGCGTTGTAGAGCCACTCCCTGAAGTAGGACTTGGTCCAGCGGGTCTGCTGGTTCAGCCAGCGGAGATATTGCACGGGGGTCTCGGTGTAACATCGCGAGCGGGCCGTGTACTTGGTGCCGTAGCCGATGCTCAACATGCGGTTTGTCAGGTGGCGGTCGTCTCCGAAAGTGCAGTGTTGACCGAGGAAGGTTTGGTTGTACCAGTCTTCTAGAAAACTCTGTAGAAGGTCGTTTCGGTAGAAGCCGAGCGGCCCGCTGATGCAGCTCACCACGTTGAAGTAGGACTGACAGGCGCGCTCGATGTTGAAGGCCATCCAGTAGCGCAGGCTGCTGAGGAACGAGATCCACGAGTCGCGCTCGTTCCAGATTCGGACGTCTCCGCCGACGGCGCCACCGTCCGATCGTTGTCGAGAATCCTCGCCATCTCGTCGGTACAGTTCGGCTCTAGGATCGTGTCCGAGTCGCAGACTTGGACGTACTCCACAGTGTCACCTAGCGCTCTAAACGCCGTGTACATGACCTCCCGCTTCCCTCCCCACTTCTGCATGATGCACGAGTTCCTGTTGTTAAGGATGATGTCTTCCACCACCTTAGCTCCGTTATCTCGAAGAGAAGGAACCACGACTTCCTCCAAATGTTTGGAGCCCTTTTCCAGACTGGGAATTTCTTGAGGAAGCGGTTCTCTGGCGTGGTAGTTGTGTCTCCAGACGAAAGTGTCCGTGTCCTGCGGTCCCATGATTTCCACAAAAGCGTCCCGCATGTACATGTCGTCGTCAGAGTTCCCGTCTATGACCAACACAACCTTCAGGTTCTGATACTTGATGTCTCTGATGGACTCCAAACACTTTCTGAGAAGCACGGGGTCTTCTTGGAACGCCGCTATGCACAGCGCTACAGGTTTGCCCTGGTGAGGTGGCAAGTCATCTCTGTTCATTTTCCTGTGCTCGAGGAAGGCGAAGATGCTCTGTATGATGAGATGCAGCGCCAACACGGAGCCGTACAGCCCGAAGGAGAGGTACCCGTCCCCGGAAAACACGAACTGGAAGCCGATGGCGTACACGACGATCATCCCCACGAAGAGACAGAGCGCGAAGAGCGTGGTCAGGGTGATGCGAACAACGGTTTTCCAGTTCATCTGTATAGGAAACAAAAGAAGTCAACACATTACGATTCAGAAGGCATCGCCGCTAGCTGAAACCGTCGTGACAGTTTGTGTTGACGAATGGTCAACCCTTTGGTCGCCTATCCACGGTAACGTGCGGGATAGTTGGAAGAACTCGCCCGAAAGGTTATGCCGGTTGCCAACGGTTGCCGGTGACACATACCACAACCTTCTGGATGATAGGTCAAGTGAACCCCAGAGGAATTCATATATGTGACCCAGCCATGCGACGTCTGTGTTTGAAGACATTCAATATTTGTGTCGAATGGAATCCCAAATGATTCCAAACTATCACAGTTACATCTCTATCACAAAACCTTGTTCTACATAATGTGCTAAAGATGCCTAAAATAACTGTGTGATGTCTTTGTGTAGTTTCCATATAGATAAAACTACAAGAAAAAAGAATATTGTGCATAGGTCAGGTTTCTAGCCTTTACTGATCTTATACCCAGCTACAAAAAGGACTTTAGTGTTTAGTGTTTATAGACTGCGTATTCAACGTACCCGTTCAACTATTAAAAGAAATCATTTTCCAATTTTAAACTTAAGGTATCCTTGGTGACGAGTTTTTCAAGGACAGGAATTTACGAAACATCACAGCATTTTATAGCAAAGTAAAAATAGAGCTTATTGAAAGTTTATTGAAAATCCCCGAGGGCTAATTGCAAGAACATGATAAAATAGTACACTGTAAAAATGATAACAGGTAATGCTAATGCTACTTTTGATATAGTTATTGTGGGTTTGATTTCTTTTCTGTGTATGTGCAGTGGAGTATGAAATGGCCGACATTTTTCAAAATGTCATGTAGTATACGTGGCATTTGTCTACCAAACCGGGACAAAACCACCAGGTTAAATGTCACGGGGATTAATTTGTCCAAACAACCGTTTTGTTCAAAGACATTGCGACCTTTCTGGACACCCGTTGCCATTGGTTACGGCACTTGTGACAGACAATACAGAGTATGACTCACCTATAGGTCAAAACTTGTCACAAATCTGTCAGGAGTTGTGTAATCGTTCGCTTCAAGAATAGGAATTTGTTGAAGATACAAATGTATAGTCTCTATCAGACTAACTACGCAGGCTATATAGGAGAAAAATTGCCGGCGCCAGGGGAGTTTGGCCGCCTTGTAGGTTTGACTGGCCGCGGAGGGAAAGAAGCTACCTCCCCGCGGCCGGACTCCCCTGGCCAATTTTACTCTCTTTTTTGCCGAGTTCTATGATCCGTATTCCCGTAGAAAGGCCTGGTGGAGGCTAGGAAACTCTGGGTCGAAACCTGTCACAAATCTGCCAGGACTTGTGTCATCGTACGGGTTGAAGAATGTGGTGAAGATACAAATGTATGTTACTTCGGTAAGGCCACACCGCCTTAATTTTATGAATGACATCCTCTAGAGACCCCTAAACTAGTGCGCGCGGGCGAATAAAAAATATCCGACCAAAAATAAAAATGCTACTAAACCACAGGAATACAAAGCCGGTATTGTGAATTTGCGGCAGTACATAGCGACGTATACGATAAGCCGGCATATGCTGGCTTTTTTCGGAATTTGTAAATCGGCCCTGTACGTATGTACTGAGTTCTTGAGTCGTGGAGCTTCGGTAGCCTGGGTGCCCGGGCTCCGTATTGTCGCTAACTACCATGGACTACCCAGGCCTAGAGCCAGACCAGAGCCTCGGTGGACGTGATCTTTTTTCTTTTGAGAACAGGCGAAAATCAATGCGCGCGCGGATGCCATCCATAAAATTAAGGCGGTGTGGCCTTACGGCATTTAAAATGACATTCGTCGTAGGTCATTGCACCATATTTTATGTCGTAAGATTTTCAATCAGGTTGTCACACAGCCAACTGCCAACAAGGATCTAAGATAGCACTTTCGCTAAGAAGACAGATGGATTTTTAACGACACATGCATGAATGACCTAAGTATGTCTTCAGTCATAATCATATGACAAATGCGACCTGGTCCCAAAGGACGTGCAAAAGTCGTTGACAGTGTTTGCAATAAATTCTGAACATTAAATATTTCTTTGTAGTTTAAACAGACTACAGTTGTAAAATTACTGTACCATAATATCATACTTATCACGTCTTTTTTCAATACTATGCTTGTCAAGTTCTAGATCAGTACAAGCGATGGATGTAGCTACATGTTGCTAAGAATGAACTTTATCATAAAAGTCCATCTGTGTTGGTAGTAATCATAGTAAAACATAAAACCTACTATAAAAGACTATAAAAATTAAACGTCTTCCCTTACCTGTACCGCTAGACATAGTCAAATATCTCTGATAGAAGCCTGAACAAAATCACTGCACAAAATCAATTCTTTTCACTCATTAGATTCCTTTGAGTTAGGATTCTCCTTTCGTTCGTCTGTTCCTTTACGTATGATTGAAGATAGAATTTCGTGCAGTGTGTAACTTTGAACCTTTGATACTTCATACGATCAATCTTGTAGCTTTAAAGAACGCGTTGAATGGGGATTGACAAAGGATGTACTTTTAGACACACGAGACTATACTTTTATAGAGACGTCAATACCTGTGTTGGTAGTAATCATAGTAAAACATAAAACCTACTATAAAAGACTATAAAAATTAAACGTCTTCCCCTACCTGTACCGCTAGACATAGTCAAATATCTCTGCTGATAGAAGCCTGAACAAAATCACTGCACAAAACCAATTCTTTTCACATCTTAAAAGATTCGTTTGAGTTACGATTCTTCTTTCTTTCGTCTGTTCCTTTACGTATGATTGAAGATAGAATTTCGTGCAGTGTATAACCTTGAACCTTTGATACTTTTTACGATCAATCTTGTAGCTTTAAAAAGCGCTTTGAATGGGGATTGACAATGGATGTACTTTTAGACACACGAGACATAACTTTTATAGAGACGTCAATACCTAAGAGTCCCGGGCAATGGGTTTGTTTTACAAGTAAACAAAGAGAATAGCACCCATTGTAAATCAGTGGGCGTTGCCGGCGACTGGTTACTATGGTAACTGTCACAACATGGCGGCACAGTTTCTCATTAAGATCACATCGGTCTTGTCTTACATGATGTTTCCGTCTTAAGGTTTTCTGTTGGGATTAAGTTCACTTCATAAATCAGAATCATATGTCAGAGACCGCAAGCTAAGGTGGTTTGATATGTGCAAATATTCTCACTTGAGATCTAGATGGTTATGAATCACATACATGCAATAAGTACACTTTTAAAAAGGCAAAGGCTTGCCTTATGTAATCAAGAGTAAACTGACATGACTTAAAACTTTAGATTCAACACAAAAAGTGCTGTATTCATTTATAATATCTTAATATCTAAACTCTGTTCTTTTGTTGCCTGGACGATACCCAATTACCCATGTTTTGTGATGTAATTTTTATTTCATATCTAGTGGTGACGTGAATATAAGCATATTGCTTGAGTGCGTCACCACTATGTATTGTACGAGTATTTTTTGCATGTTGAAATAAAAAAAAGTTCTCTCACCTAAACCGTAAAAGAGTAAACTGAGTTTTAATCTACTGGTTTAAGCACACTTACTTAAATATATACCACCGTTAGGATATAATTTAGCATAATATTCACTGATTTTTCGAGCAAATATTTTAAGTCTCTCTTTCCCTCTGTCTGTCTGTCTGTCTTTCTCTATGTATATATATGATATCTATATAACATAATTAACATTATTAGCTACGATTAAACATTTGCCTGTTGAAGGAATGTTTATGTTTGATTACTATACGTGTATGATTCATTTTTCTATAGCTATTCATGACATTTTATTCCAGGGATAAATACTCAAAGGAATACCGTCTATCAAGTTGAATGAGGATTCACAGACAGATTATACACGTAAACGGAGGAAAAATAGCGAAGTTTTCTCTATTGGTTTAGGCGCACTTACTTAAATATATACCACCGTTAGGATAGAATTTAGCATAATGTTCACTGATTTTTCAAGCGAATATTTTAAGTCTCTCTCCCTCCCTCTCTCTGTCTGTCTCTCTCTCTCTATATATATAGAAAGTTTATTGCAAATACTTGCGAGACTATATCTACGTCTAGCATTATACTAAATTCTACAACATACATGGTACTAGTTTTACTGGTTTTGACTTCTTCTTTTTAGGCAATGGAAGACGAATTTACCCACTTCCTCTATAATATGTGGGTTCTTTGATTTTAGTAGTTACATATATATATATGATATCTGTATAAAATAATTAACACTATATAGCTACGATAAAACATTTGCCTGTTGAAAGAATGTTTATGTTTGATTACCATACGTATATATCTTTCATATTTTATCTTCCTATATCTATTCATGACATTTATTCCAGGGATAAATACTCAAAGGACTACCGTCTATCAACTTGAATGAGGATTCACAGACAGCTTAGGAGGAAAAACAGCGAAGTTTTCCCCGAAGACTACCCGGGATAGTTCTCGGTGATTAGCGCGTCCGGAAACCGCACAAAAGGTTACAGACATCGGTCAAAACGCCCATTCATCGTGTGCAGGGATCTCTGATGACTTTCGCGTGTTACGGCTTTTGTGGGAGAAACCTTGGCCTAACGCGATCTCTGTAACGCTTTAATAAATACAACACTCCAGAGGACAGATCGGCCACAGAGGAATATTTTACCTAAGCTATCTTGTAAATTCGTAATAACCCGTATTAGTTTCAACCTCGTGACGCTTGTGGCATCATTCGTCTTGGCTCTAACACGGATGTAGAGACAGGCGACCTCTAGGTGAGTCACTCCTCTATGGTTCAGAGTGTTGGACAGAAACACTGGAGAGAACGTTAGATGAATGAATGAATGAAAGACCTTTATTGTACGTTTGTGCTCTAACAAGCTAAGTACAGGTCATGAATAAACAGGGAAAAAGGATACAACAATGACACTTACATACTGTGTGTGTACAATGTGATCTACTACTTACAGGTTCAACTTCTTCTCGCTCGCTTCTTGACGCAGTTAAAGATGTACGAACATATTGAGCTAATGATAAGTTTGACAAGTTTCATGAGGAATTCGAATTTTTCTATTCTGTCTAAATGCATGCCTCAAGCTTGGGAACCTGTCAATTACATAAGTATAAAGGAAATAAAAAAAAATCCGGCCAAAAATAAAAATGCTACTAAACCACAGGAATACAAAGCTGGTATTATGAATTTGCGGCAGTTCATAGTGACGTATACGACAAGCCGGCGCATGCTGGCTATTTGCGGAATTTATGAATCCGCACTGTAGGTATGTACTGAGTTCTTGAGTCATAGAGCTTCTGTAGCCTGGGTACCGTCCTCCAGAGTTACCACCGGCTCCGTATTGTCGCTAACTACCATGGACTACCCAGGCCTGGAGCTAGGCCAGAGCCTCGGAGGACGTGATCTTTTTTTTTCTTTCTTCTTTTTGAGAACAGACGAAAATCAATGCGCGCGTGGATGTCATCCATAAAATTAAGTCGGTGTGGCCTAGAGAGAGATTGAAACAGACAGTCATGGGGAGACACCGAGTGCGCTTGACGCAGTGAGCGACCTCTAGGTCAATACCCCGCCCCAGTTATGTCGTCATTCCTTACTGTAAGACGGCTACTGTGGTTACTAATAGTGCTGTTGAGTAAAGAGACGTTCGTGAATGGCAGGACAATGACAAGCGGCAAATTTGGATATCATTAAGTCCGTATTTTGAAACACCGAAGGTACAATTGAGACCTTGTCATGTCATCTCAAAGGAAGTTGGTGACAAATCAAAAGATGACGGCTTGGAGAGCGAGCCTCCGTAGCAGGCTTACAGAACTGGGGGTTTGGTGGTCTTCGGCTGTTTTCTGATTAGCCCATTCTAAAAAACGGGGGTAATTCAACCAGGCCGGCTATGTCTATATGCAATCAGAAAACAGCACATCAAAGATCCCAAAGACCCTGAAGACCCCCCAAAACACCCAGTTTTTGGCATGCTATGGAGGCTATTGGAGAGCAAGGTTAGGGCACGTATGTTGCGCGATCGTCGCACGATATGCACGCAACCTGGGGGCATTCTTGGAATGGCCGTGCACGTGTCGTACAAGATTAAGCTTTTATACTTCAGAGAAAGCTGTCTCAGATTCTTGTGGGCGGTTGGTTACTTCTTGTACGAACGAAATATATGATCGCGTCGTTACACGAAAGGGATGTAACTATAGTGTAATAGAAGTGATGTTCGAACACTGCCCTTTGTGATTAAAAGTGGACAGTCCTAGCCCGGAGTCCAGTCTTCATAGCTTTAGTTCGCTTCCAATGATCACTACCTCGCAGTTGGAAACGGACTGAAGCAAACAAGACTGGATTCCAGGCTAGGACTGTCTGGAAAATATGTGAACATAAGATCTATCTTTTTCATTTGTCTTTCTTTCTGTCGTTCTTTTCCACTTTGATTTTCTTTTCTTCCTTCCCTGTTTTCCTTTCTGAATCTTTGTTTCATGACTGATGGAATCCGAAATCCCACCACAAAGTAATGCTGAAAAAAACAGTAGAGAGCAAACTAAGCAAAGGAAACTGTTGAGCTATGACCTGTGACCAACCTTGGTGGTTAAAAACAGTTTCATTTCTTACGCACACACAGCGATAGTTGCATTTCCTCCTTGTACACATCAACCCATAACTAGACGTCACTAAGAAAGAGATGGATAATTCTATGGCGTGCCGGTGCCATAGTTACCTAATAAAAGAACACACCCCCTATTCTCAGCGTTAACATAAACTTGTATTTTGAGAAATGCGTCACAAATGCGTTATTAGTGCGTTGTTAACGCGTTTCTATGGCCTTATTCATCCCAGTGCCCTGCCTGTGCATTGAGTAGCGGTGGCCCTTGACTAATTAGTATGCGTGCATTATGAAGGGTTCTATAGGGAGATGGGCTAATTGGCAGCAGGTGCATTTCTTCAAGAGATCTTTTCCTCCTCTCGATTCACGTTGTACGAAATCTAGTCTTTACACACACCTTAAACATGCTTAAAGGTCGCTTAACGAGATAAAGAACGATCTTTTAAAACCTTCTGCGCCCTTAAGTTGCCCTTTAAATCATATTTTTGCATCATGCATCATACCAGGTGACAAGTCAAGGATGATACAAATCCATTTTTTTATATTCCAACATCAAAACACAAGACGTGGTGACGGCACACGCAATTTTTTTCAACTTATATTATGCCGCCACCAACACAGGGGACAGTACAATACTCATTTTCACCTGAGCGAAGTGAGGAAAGTCGTGTAAAGTGCCTTTCCCAAGGGCACAAGATCGGTGGCATGTCAGGACTCGAACCCGGGACCTCTTGATTCCGAGTCGAGCACTCTGCCGCTACGCCACACGACCCCACAAATTTGGGTGATCGGAGATCATTGTCTAGTAGAAAGAAGACCTTACACTACAGAATACCTAGCCTCCACCAGGCCTTTCTACGGGAATACGGATCGTAGAATTCGGCAAAAAAAAGAGCGAGAGTAAAATTGGCCAAGGGAGTCCGGCCGCGGGGAGGTTGTTTCTTTCCCTCCGCGCGGCCAGTCAAACCTACAAGGCGGCCAGACTCCCCAGGCAAATATTCTCCTATATATAGCCAGCGTAGTTAGTCTGGTAGAGACCACAGGATACCTACTAAAGCGCCATGCGTCCCTGTACGGGGTCAACTTTTTATCAATGAAACCTTGCGAGGGGCTACGAGTGAAGGAAAATCGAAAAATCGAACAAACTGACCTAAAAAGCCGAGTTGCCCCCACTTTCAACTTTCCGACCTTTCCGGCCAAAACGTTCCACAGTTGTAAATATTAATTGGATAGTCAAAAACATGCTTACTTTTTATAAATTCTTACAAACGACGAATGATTTACAAGTACAATTCTACTAAGTCCATGTTTGGAAGTAAAGCTTTGAATACATGTTTTAGATGAACAAAAGTCATTTCAAGAAGAAAATACTACATTTGACCTATGGTACTCCTTCCTTATAGGTTAACCAAAAAAAATCACAGTCCATTTCTATAAAAAGTTACAAAAACACACGAAATAAGTCTGGTATGAAAGTTAAACATGGCTTGCAGATCAACACATATAACTTTTTGAGTACCATATAGCCAGACCACCTTCAAGTTACATACACTAAGGCCACACCGACTTAATTTTATGGAAGACATCCTCTGAAGACCCCCAAACTAGTGCGCACGGGCAATTAAAAAAAAGTCCGGCAAAAAATAAAAATGCTACTAAACCACAGGAATACAAAGCTGGTATTGTGAATTTCCAGGAGTACACAGCGACACATATACGACAAGCCGACACATGCTGGCTTTTTGCGGAATTTATGAGTCGGCACTGCACGTATATACTGAGTTCTTGAGTCGTGGGGCTTCGGTAGTCTGGATGACATCCTCCAGAGTTACCACCGGCTCCGTATTGTTACTAACTACCATGGACGAAAATCATTGCGCGCGCGGATGTCATCCATAAAATGAACTCGGTGTGGTCTAACATAGAACTATGCATATGCGTAGAGTAGTATATGATAATGTCCACTTACAGACGGTCCGGTAGCCAAACCACGGTTAGTTGTACAAAAACACCTGTCCACAACGCCGGCTCTTCAGAACACGTCAACATTGCCAACCGTTACTTCTGTACCACTCTTCCACTCACTACAAGAACGCTACAGGCTCAACTCTCGACTTTAAGACAGAGAAACTCTTCAAGACATGTCTTCGATATGTCTTCAATATCACAAACTGATGATGCGAACCCTTGGTCACGCGGGTCTAGGTAAAATGCATGCCGGGTGGCGTATTTACTCTAGCGGGGAGAGTTCGTTTGACAATTATGAGGGGACGGACTTGCATCCCCAATAACCACCAACGCTTTGTTTTTCCACTATTAGTAACAGTGACAGGGTTAAAGGATCAAAGCTTCATTTGTTAGAATTAATACCTTCACAAAGTGGTAAATAAAATGGCCAATTTCACTTGAATGAGAACGACCACCCCTTACGGATTAGTGTCTCACGCCTGGTCCCTGAGAAAAAAAGGTGTACATTTGCTATTTCCCCCTGAGTAAACTACGGGTTTGGAGTTGATGGATGATTCGACGGTATTGTTGAAGGGTCAGAACAAAGGTGGACCGGACTGTGGTGGAAAGTGCCCCGGCTACTTAGAGTCCACAAGTGGGGGGCAGAGTGGAGTCGTTTCGGGGTGTTAGTCTGTGACAGGTCATGTACACATAGTCTCTACCAGACTAACTACGCTGGAAATATATAGGAGAATATTTGCCGGGGGAGTTTGGCCGTCTTGTAGGTTTGACTGGCCGCGGAGGGAAAGAAACTACTTCCCCGCGGTCGGACTCCCTTGACCAATATTAATTTTAATCTCTTTTTTTGCCGAATTCTACGATTCGTAGAAAGGCCTGGTGGAGGCTTATGTACACATGTGTGTGAAGGGTCTATCCACTAGTGTTAATGGTCTAGCAACAAGGTGGAAAGTGGGCTTAAAAGAAGTAATAGACAGCATAGCTTGTTAGGGATTTGTACGATGTCAGTGCCTTAATCCAATGTAATTTATTCCAACATGTAATCACAAGACGTGGTGATGGCACACTCAAGTTTTTTTTTTCAACTTATATTAATGCCACTACCAACACAGGGGACAATACGTACAATGCTCATTTTCACCTGAGCGAAGTGAGGAAAGTCGTGTCAAGTGCCTTTTCCAAGGGCACAAGATCGGTGGCATGTCAGGACTCGAACCTGGGACCTCTTGGTTTCGAGTCGAGCACTCTGCCGCTACGCCACACGACTCCACGATCCAATGTAATTTCAATGCGGCAAAACAAAAACATTCTAGATAAAGAAATCTGTCTGATATTGACATTTATTTGCTGCCATTTCTCAGCATATTTTCGTCATCATTTCATACATGAAACATGAACAGAAAGTTGACTTTGAAAATCCAGTTCTACTGTCCTGAAATCGCTTTGGGTACCTTTATCAAGTTAAGATATGTTATCATTGAAGCAAGAACGTCAGATTTACGCATATATAAGGCCACACCGACTTAATTTTTTGGATGACATCCTCCGAAAACCCCCAAATTAGTGCGCACGGGCGAATTAAAAAAAAATTCCTGCCAAAAAGAAAATGCTACTAAACCACAGGAATGCAAAGCTGGTATTATGAATTTGCGGCAGTACATAGCGACGTACATGTATACGACAAGCCGGCACATGCTGGCGCGGATGTCATCCATAAAATTAAGTAGGTGTGGCCTAACCATGAGGGGCTATGACGTCTGTATTTTGATATCCCCATGCCGATATGCCAAACATCAGTCTTGTTTGTCTTGTCGTTGTCTTCTGTAGAAAGTCATTTCAAAGCAATTGTTTTCTTAAGGAAAATTGGTCAGAGAAGCGCATGGGTGATATGCATAAAAGGCAAGACGGCCTTAACAATTTTTGCTAATTGTCATAGAACGTACAATAGTTGGGGTGCTGTCTTCAATTATTTTATCTTGTCTATTCACAGTGCCGTCGACAGTGCCTTCCTTAAACATCCACTGGATCTAAATTCACAGAAAACATATTTAGCGGAATGTGAGTGTTTTTCAATACACACTGAAATCTTCACTGTAAATATATAGTGACGATATATTCTATTTGCCAGTAAACATAGTATTATTTATATAGTCTACATTTCAACGTTTCTTTTTTTCTTCATTTCTCCTTACTTCGTACCACCCTTTTTTGACATTATAAATGGCAACAGAAATCCAAATTTCCAAAAACACAAAACCTACATATCAACACGAAATAGGCGTGCATTTGCGTAATTTGAAACTTGTAGTTACCAAGTCAGTGTTTGTTGCTTACTATCACACAGTAATGGTCGCTAAGTCGGCAATCAAAAACTTGTTAGGATTCTCTGGTCAACATTTGCTTAGCGACCCTTCTATCTGTTAGTTATAGGACGTCTACTGCACTAAGGAAAGTTAGAATTAAAATAAGAAGAATAAAAAAAGCGTTAAAATGTTTGGATTGCATTTTATACGTTCTGATATACGTTCTGATATTTTCTATGTCTCTTGTCTTAATTTCCTATGATCCATGTTAAATTTCATACAATTTATACAATTATTTTCATTTAAAAACCCAGAATCTCACACTAAGGCCATCAAATACATAACCCTTACAAACATCTCAATTTACTCTTTGCTTTATAACTGATGAATAGATATCCTTCCGCGCCTGTGAGTTCAAATTTACCACCCACATTTCTAAACGTGCAAGAGCTGTGATTTCAAACGATCTTAAACCCTGACATCCTAATACCCTACTAAAGTATGAACAGTAATGAAATGACCAATATTTAAACTCTTAGAATATTAAGTATGCATTTCCAACTAATACCTTCTTTTTAATATCCTGATAGTTCAAGGTCTAAGTAATTGTTCAAATGTACAAAACGTCTATATTGGTCCACTCTCTTAAATACACATCTGCCCAATTACATGAGGTACAGGCGGATCTTAAGGGTGGTGGGTTGTATTGACCACTCCCAGCTGTCCACCAGAAAGGGCCAGTGTTGACCCTCACCTGACGTGAAGATGGACCACCTGTCGCGTTGTTAACTCACCTGTGGGGTACAAATGTACCTGGAGACCAAACAACAAATAAACGGGGTGGTTTTTGCGTATGGGCAGTATGTGTATGTTTGATGGCCAGGGATAGGCTAGCCCGGTATCCAGTCTTACGTGATTGGGGGTATTGGGGGTGTTCAGGCAGGTTGTGTCTTCGGGGCTCTAATAGCTTCCCCCGCCCAGTGCAACAGGCCGTCCCGGTAGGAGTGTTACGCTGAAATAAGAGACAGTATGCTTGGGGATTTGGTTTCCCCCCAACACGTGGAGGGCTAATAAATCTCTCGTGAAATACACACCGGGAAACCTATGTAAGGCGGGCGGGACAGAGCTCTTGCGTCCCCGACCACGATCAGACTGGATACCAGGCTACCAGTCTACTTGTAGTCGGGGCACTGCAGGCTGTCTTCGGGGCTCTAATAGTTTTCCCCCGTCCAGCTCAACAGGCCGCTCGGTGGGAGTTTTACGCCTGTAGGAATTTTGCTACAACAAACGTACAAAATGCCCATGGTGCAAACCTACCCCGTACCGAGGAACCTAGCTGAGTCGGGCGGTGAAAAGCTCCTGCAGCCCCCGAAAAGAACCCGTCCCAACCGCGATAGACTGGACAGCAGGCTAAGGATAGGCCTGTCCTTACGCTTTAAATCTTTCCATTCTGAGCTTTAGAAATTCTGATCATTGTATCGTAGCCGGCGAACTAATTGAAACCGACCATTTATAAAGATTCTTTATTGACACAACAAAAAGTACAGGGTCTTTTGTATGGTCTTCTACAGCTAAAGATCTAACAAAGCTAAATACATGTGTGACTAACGTCACCTTACGTACGAGTACAGAGTTTATGTATGCGGTAACAATAAAGGTTTAACTATTCTCTAAAATGTGGTCTCTAAGATCGAAACATTCTTCAAAGTATTTTCCTATTTGAACACTGTATTGGTTATCTTATAGCACCGCAGAGATACCGGGGAGCCCCCCCCCCCCCAACACACAATGTTTGCTGTGCGTTACTGATTGGCATATTGAAGTAGAAGCCTGCGGACTAATAAGTAAGCAACAGCTATGAAGTGCTTGTTTAAGGTGATCAGGTGTTTATGAGATTGTCTATCAAGGTGTCAATGGTTTCGTTATTGCGCTGTTGCTACCGCTGGTACCGTAAATGGTGTAGAGGTCTTCTAGCGCTTTTGAAATATATATTCCACAGGCAACAAGTAAAATATAGAGTATCTACATAACTGCGCTTGGATGGGTAAGGTTCATATGTTATTCTATGTAAATGTAGTAGTATACACAAGTGAGCACGATGTCTAGTCTCTGAATGAGATGGTCTTTTGGTCTTTGTTAAGTCATAACAATCGGGTAAAATATTTTTCTTAGTACTCTTGAAATGTTTCGATAACCGAAAAGCGTGTCTATTGCTAAAACCTTGCTTTCACTTCGATTACCGGTGATTGATAGGTGATGGGAACGGCAATCATGCCATGAAGCGCCCCTAGCGGATCTTGCTTTAACTGTCAGTCCTGAAAAGGGCTTATAATCTATGGCCAAACACCTGCAGAATGACCTACTCACCCCATACTCATAGTCGGGTTTAAAGATAAAAAGCTTGAATGAGGATAGCTTAACTGCAAACAACGAAGGCACTGCGTGGGAATGTAAGGGAGATATACCGTTTATGTTCAATTTGTGGCTGAGTTCAGCCGGTATGAATCGTTTGAAAGTAACTGACAAGTTAAACCGTAATCACACAAGTAGCTACGATTGTTGTGTTTTTGTAGGTACACAATGTTAATCGGATATATGGCAAGCTTTGTCGTACCAAGGCAGTTGGATTGTGTACGATTGTAGTAAAAATAGCCCCAAAGTTGCCGCACGGCGAATGCATGTGACAGGCCTAGGCTAACATACTGTAGCATCAAATTCATGACCCATCTACTAGCTATGGCCTCCA